TGGTCATCATGTCTGCCCAGTTGATCTGTATCTGAGCAGGCATCCACGTGAGAATTTCTTGCGTCGTCCCTTTTCAGAGGGGATGTCAAAGGCGACGAAATCTCCATGACGGATTGGTCGTCTGAATCTGAATCGGGGGTGGAGTTGTCAATCTCGGAAGCACTGTCGGAAGCAACCACCATAGGAACGGAATCTTCTTTTGCATCACTGTCATCATCGTCAGGAACACAAAAGGTATTGGTTGCAAGGGCGGTTCTTTGGCTGTCCATGGTGTCAGCACTGCTCAAACTAGGCGGGACACATGGGGCATACAAAGGGTCAGGCCATTCGAATTCACAACGAACTTTGAGTGGAGGGAAGGTATCTTATATGACACGTCAATAACCCATCTGTACCTTTCTCCGTAGTCGGGCGAGACTCACCAGAGCCACGATACACTGTGGAGCCAAAGGTGACCACGTCATCATGTTTGACGACAGAGTCCTCCTCTGTTGGAATTTTCTTCCCATTTATCCAGGTACCATGCATCGACCCACCGTCACGAATGTAGACGAGCTAAACCAAGTTCAGCCTATTTTGGCCTGAAGCCCAACTACCTGTAGCTGAGATGACAGCCATATAGAACATACCTGCTTGTCGAAGCACACCCACAGCTTGGCATGGTTGCGTGACATGACCCGAGACTCAAATAATCCATTGTTTCTGGCGGGGATAAGATTCTTTGATTCACGCTTAGAAGCCCGACCAATGTTGACTTGGTTATTGGTAGAAGTGAACTCTAGGGATCGATATGGCAAATCATCGGATACGGACAAAGGGCGGAGAGTCACAATAGCTGCCCGAAGAACAGGTGTTAGTTCGATTTGGCTTCGGTGCGTATAGGCTAGTGCGGAGCAGACACTTACCCTGTGTGGCAGGCATGGTGATAAGTGGTGGTGCCGTCAGCACACAGAGATAGAGCGACAGTTATTTAGACGTGCAGTGCAGTCTGGACCGAACCAAGGTATCAGTGTCTTATATCTCAGACTCCCCAGCGCTTGAACAGCAAGACCGGATGCCAGAGACCTGACAGGCTGCCTGAGCGCTTACCTACTCAGCATCAACATCAACCAACAGGACGGCAGAGAATGAAAAACGGATCTGAGTGTAGCGTTTGGAGGTAGATGAAGACCACGATAGAGTCGAGAGGGGAAAAGAAGGGAAGTGATGAGGTGTTTACAGCAGGCTGACGAGGCGGCCAACGGGGGAAGCCAAGGAAGCTTTGGGTAGGAGGGGCAGGAGCATACGACCGACCCGATGGGATCAGCCTGAGGTCAATGGGCGGTCGCTGTCAGGCACCCGGGAAACGTAGTAGAAAAGTAAGTCACTGGCTATGTAAAGCGTACCAAAGTGTTAGTCCCAGTAGTGAATGTCACAGGCAGCCTAGACAGTCCTCAGATATTGCCTGCAGGGAAGGGTTTGACGGCGATCAGGCAGAGGGCGCTGATTCATAGTGTATTTGATAAGAAGAATACTAGGAAGGGGCCGTAGCTGCTAACTTACTACCACTCAGGTTTGGTTCACAAAACAAAAGTGAAAGAGGTAGTTTAACACACCTCGGAAGGGACTGAGACAAAGCCTCACTCACAAGAAAGATGGAGAAAGAAGTAGGAGAGGCATCACTCAGCAGACAAGCTGTTGAATGAGTGTCAGATAGAGAGTAGATGAGTCGAACGATAACATGTTCGGACAAGATGGATGACGCCGATGCGGGCGAGAGAGCGAGTGCTGATAGGCCGACGGGTGGGGGGGGGAATACCCGTCAGGTGGACCAGCACCTTTTTAGTCGGGCGGAGTACAGGAGAGGTAAGATTAAATAGTAGTGAATACTAGAAGTTACTCAAAATGGTGGTCCAGTGACTTGCCATCTATCTCCCCCATCACTCAACCCGACCTGTCACCATTACTTACTCTTTCTTGACTTGAAGTTATTCATCCCACACTTGGCTTACCCTATACTATGGTACATACATACATCGCTCGTGCTTGCCCCTCTTCCCAAACCAACATGCCGGATAGAAAGTATATGTGTATCTTCCGGTCCGCAGACCTCTCTCATCATGCCCGCATTTCTTCCTCGATAAAAGAGCCCAGTGTGCCCCTCCCAGAACCAATGGAGAGAGCTTGGAGACAAACAGGGAGGGGGGAGAGAAAAACCATCTCGCAAACAGAAAATGGAAACACGGTCGCAACAGGAGATAAAACAGTATATCGGCACAAAATGAAAATAAAAGATCCAGACGTCAAATAAATCGAGACATAAAAAAGAAAAAAGAAAAGAAAAAGAAGTCCTTATAGTAAATACACACAGATGAATGGTTCAGGCGCCCATGCACCTACCAGAGCAGACCAGGCATAAGCTACGGCCTGCAACGCTTCAACCACCGGAATTCCAAGACAGAAGAGAATGAGGGAAAATAGATTAGGTCGTACACGTCTTTTGGCGTCTTGACGGGTGTAAATGAAGATATATCAGGACTCAATCTTACAGAGAGGGAGGGGGGGCAAAGCCAGCACCCATGCCTTGCAGACGGGCAGCAAGCTGGGGGTACTTCTCCTGGACTTCCAGCTGCGTGCGGGTGGCCTCGGCATAGGAGATGGCATTGATGATCTCCGCCTCGGTACGAGCAAGCTCAGCGGCGCGCTCGAAGTACTTGAGGGCCTGCGAGACCTTGCCCTGCTGCAGCAGAAGCTGGGCCATCGTTCCTACGGCGATATCGCATTCGGGGTCGACTGCAAGCCAGTTAGTGTTCCAAGATCTCTCCACTTTACAGCGAACGTTCGCAAGACTTACTGATCAAAGCTTTCTGGCAGAGGTTCTCGGCCTCCTGGAAATCGTGCTTCCACTGGAACAAGGCAAGAGCCTTGTTGATCAGGGGCAGGACGTTAATACCCATAGGCTTGCTCTGCTTCTCCATCTCCACGGCCTTGTCGAACTTCTCAATTGCCTCCGAGAAGTTCTGCTGGTCGAGGAGAAGTTCACCGTAGTAGTTGTAGACATCAGGCACTTCTTCAAAGTTCTTCACGGATCTTCTGAAGGTGGCCATGGCGGACGCAACGGAGCCCATCTTGTACTGCGTAACACCAAGCTGAATGTGGGAGTAGATGAAAGTACGGTCGAGGTCGATAGACTTCTGGTAATCCTTAGCAGCCTCGGCGAACTCTCCGAGGATGAAGTGAAGCTGGGCGCGGTGGTAGTAGATGTCGGGGTCATCCTTGTTGTGGGTGATGGCGAGCTCGAAGTCGTCGGCAGCGGCGTCCTTGTTTCCTTTTGGACGTGTCAGCAAAGCATCTACCAAACGAAAGGGGCGTTTAACATACCGAGCTCGAGGTGCAAGCTAGCACGCTTGATGTAGCTCTGAACCAACGACGGCTGCAGCTCAACACTCTTGTTAAGATCCAACAAGGCGGCCTGAGCGTTACCCTCGAGATAGGTGAAGGTTGCTCTCAGGTTAAGAGCAAGGGCTTCGTATTCACCCAAGTCTCCGAGCTCCAGAGCCTTCTCAAAGGCGGAAGCAGCCTCCTCGTAGCCATCACCAGTCTTCAGGGCCATTGCAAGCAGACCCTTGCGGAGTTGACCCTTACCGGAGTCGTCGCTCAGATCCGCAGACTCATCGAGGCCTTCGGGCAGTGCCTGGGGGCGGAAGCTCTGGAGATAGTTCGAAACAAAGGTCGGGCTAGGGAGCTTCTTGCCCTTCGCCTCGATAATGGCCTTTCCTTTCCTCTCGGCAACCTTCTTCAGGAGTCTTTCCAGAGCAACACGGCTGATCTCGTTGGAGAAGCCGTCGATGATGCAGCTGGCAGTGAAGTCAAGAAGAGCCTCGCTGAACTTCTCCAGGTGTTCGTATGCAATGGCTCTCCGGTTCAAGGCCTTGACGTACTCACTGTCCATGGCGAGAGCGGCACTGGTATCTTCGACGACCTTCTCCCACTCCGACAGAACGTTATAGCAGGCGGCACGGTTCGAGTAGAAGACCGGATCGGGCTTGCAGAGAATGGCCTTTCCGTAGAGCTCAATGGCATTGTTGTAATCCTTGGAGCCATACGCCTTGTTTCCAGCAGCCTTGAGCTTGGCTGCGTAAGCCTTCCTTGTCTTTGAATCCGGTATTAGCATTTGCGGTATCGGCGCCCGGGGGTGTTTCCATCGTAAAAGGCCAAAAACTTACCTCTTCCGACAGCTGTGCAACGGATTCCTCGTCAACTTCTGGGAGTTCTTCGGAGGCTTCCTCCGTCTTCTTTGCGGCAGGCTCTAAGGAGATCGTCAGCCCGAATCGGATGCTTGTCGACGAGAGAGGCAGAGTGTGGTTCTCTTCAACATACCCTCTTGAACGGAGGCAGCCTTGGCCTTCTTCTCCTCTTCTGCCTTCTTCTTTTCCTTTCTCCTCTGGTTCTTGCTCTTCTTCTTCTCTGTGGAAGGGGCCGGGGTAGTCCGACCCGAGTCGGAGAGGTAGTAGACGACACCCGCGCTGGTCACGACCACAGCAACACCGGCAATGGTGTAAACAAGGGCCTTATTTTCCGACACCCATTTCGAGATACGATCCCAAACTGATGCTGATGAAGATGGGGGAAGAGAAGTCGTGTCAAGAACGACGTTCTTCGTAGGCTGAGGCAATGGCGACTGGCTTGACATGATGACCCGACAGAGGAACCCGTCTTCTTATCGCTTTTCCTATTAATCTACAAGGGAGCTCAGTCAGCATCGTGACAGCAAATGGGCCTGGGAGGGAATTGATAGGGAGCACGGACGGTCCTGAGTGCAGAGCAAGTGCTTGTCGGCAGGGCGGACAACTTGTCTTGGGGTTGGAAGAGAGCGAGGAGAGATGCGGCTTGAAAAGTTATGCGTTGCGATGTTCAGGTTCCGGCGACGCAGCGGGCTTTCCGAGCTGGTTTGGGCCAATCACACTCGCCGCAAGGGGATGGGCTCCGTCAGCTCCTGCTTTCTCCACAACATCATCATCCGTGATTCCAAGGCAAATGGGACCAATGTCTCGTCCTCTGTGCTGGATCATGACCATCTCACATAGCTCAGGCTGGCGCGAGTTAATCTTCTCAATTGCGCAAACCCCCTTTTTCTAGTGTGCGACCGTCTAATGTGCCGAGGTGCCAACAGCACGGCTATCACTTGCTAACAGCACGGTGCTCTGTCTAGCTCATACTTACAAGTGTCTTGTCTCCTACCCTCGGTCGCAATTGCCGCGACGGCAAAAAATGGCCTCGGAAGTGCTACCACAGGACTTCAAAATCATATCGTCTCTACGCTACGATCCTGCTCTTTCGACGATAGGCAAGCGGGCAGCGGCTAGAACAACACCCGATCCATTGACCACACCGTATTATCTCCTCCCTTACCACCAAGAACGCCTTCGAAATGCAGCGGCATGTTTCAGCTGGGGAAAGGCTCTCGCCTTCTTGAAACAAGACACGAATCAGTTCGTCGAGTTTCTTAACACCTTCATTCCGGACAACACCAAGCCATGGCGCCTCCGAATTCTCCTCGATAGCACGGGCACTTGCGAGGTTGAGGTCAACCCAACGACGTCAATGAATCCGCTGAATTATCTTACTCCAACCGAAACGAACCTTCAGACCACTGCCTGGCGTGTATATATTGATTCCGAACGCATATCCCCATCCGTGTTTACAACACACAAGACTACGGCTCGCGACTTCTACACGGCTGCACGACTCCGATCGGGAATAGTTTCTTTTGTAGAGCCTGCGGAAGTTCTTCTGGTAAACCCGGCGGGTGAGATCATGGAAGGAAGCATTACAACACCATACTTCAGGCGACGAGATACGACGGATGGGGAGGGAAAGCCAGCTTGGATTACACCGCCGCTTTCCAGCGGTGGCAATGCGGGTACAACGAGGCAATATGCTTTAGCACAGGGATTCTGCGCTGAGGATACAATTGCAGCTACTGACCTAGTGGATGGCGAAGAGTGCTGGCTCAGCAATGGTGTCCGAGGTTTCATCCGCGGTCAGATTGTACTAAGAGGAATCGACGAGCCACATGCCTGACGTCTATCTAAGCCAGACAATAGAAGGATTGCCGAGTAAAGTCGAGGATAACACCCGGATATCTCGGGCCCCGACCTTGTGAAAGACCAGGATTTCCCTATCGGTCATGTAGGCGTATGAGCTTGCAGACATGTGTCACACTTGTTGACATATCTTATGCATAAAAGCGCCAAATAGTGCTCCGCACCTATTGTCATTACATTGCAGGGCCACGTATGAGTCCAACTGTACCCTGCTATGACGAAAGGCTGTTATGAGATACAGCATATATAGTACAGGCAGAGCACTGTTGATTTCTGCTAGTACCTTTAGGGGGTCTGAACTGGGTGCTCACTACTACAGTAGTAGTACTACCAGCTTAGTAACTACCCCTCATGCTAGTATGCTATATAATGATTGAGTGTGACTAGCAGTGGGTACTAGTACTATTAAGTACTCTGCTGTTAGCCTTTCACTACTACTAATTATACTGGTACTAGGTCCAAAAAGCTTGGCTGCCATGGCTCCTCCGTTTCGTCACAACTCGGCACTAGTAGTAGTTATGGTTAGTGACTGAAATACTTAAAGTTATACTACTAGTAATACTAAACACTATTGCTGGAACTACAGTATTTGTGGGATAGTAGTAAGTAATTGGTGATGGTACTTACTATTACTACCAGTATTGTTATAACCCAGATATATAAAATGACGGAGAATGGCTGGTTAGTGGTTCCGTTGTCTTTTGAATACTACTACTATCACAAGCGGGGTGATAGTCCTGACGTCAGAAATTTGATATCTCAAGTATGATCATACGAGGATCAGCAAAGACTTTTGCTGTCTGCCACGCAGTCCTGGTCTATAGTAGTGCTTTGTAGCTGAAGAAAACCAAGAGGACTACTAAGTACTACACGATGATTGGCCAGCCGGGAGACAATCAGATGATGCACCGGCCCATCCCCGCATTACCAAAGAGGCTTAGCGGCGAGCGGCCAGAAGCTGACAGAAATTCTTCCCAGTCGGAGGCTCGGGCAGATTCGTCCGGCCACTGAGAAAGGCGATTGAGCAGGCGAGCACTGCAGTTCACTTTAAACCAAGCAGCATCCCCAACGCCACCCTGTGCTCCAGTTCCATCCTCTTTCTTCCCCAAGTTGGTGTGACTTCCTCATTCCAATTATCCGATCCACTCTGTATGCATCATTCGCAATTATGAAATTCTTCGAGAATGTCTTCACCTACGACTATTCCTTCCCGGCCGTGTCGCTGGCCTACTTCCTTCGCTATCCCAACCCGTATTCTCGCCATGTGCTGACCACCGATGTCATTGACCGTTATGTCGATCCGACGACTCAGCGTCTCCACACCACTCGCCTCCTCCTCAAGAAATCCAAGGTTCCCTCGGGAATCCTCAAACTCCTCCCCAAGGGGATTGGCGGCTCAGACAATTCCGGCCAGAGCTATATCCTCGAAACGACTGTTGTGGACGCCAAAGAGGGCTGGATGCAGACGGAATCCCGTAACATGGAGTGGACCGGGATATTGAGCGTGGTCGAGAAGCAATTCTACCAGCGTCAGCCCGAAGGTCCGCTCGGCACTCTGGAAGGGCTTTCCCTCGATGACAAGAAAAGCGAGCAGACTACGGTGCGCACTACAGTCACTTTCCGCTCTAAATTCGGGCAAGGAAAACTGCTAGGCAGAAGGAAGACGGAGCCGAGTAGCGATCACACTGGGGATTACGAAGAAGAAGCTCCAAAAAGAGGCCTTTTCACCTCCTTGTCCACTGCGGGAATCCAACGCACGATCGAGCTGATTGGATTGAATCGCACTCGGGATGCCGTGCTTAAGAGTAAGCAGGGTATGAACGTGGTCCTTGAGCGCTTGCGCAATGGCGGTATCGTGGGTGTTCTCGAAGGGATGCGTCAAGATCGGGAAGCAGCGTTCGGGCCTGAGGGCGGTCCCTGGAAGCGAGTTTGGCTATCCGGCCATGGGCACGCGTCTATTCAAGATGACGACAATTGATTTCGAGCTTCTCATCGAATTGGAGAAAAGGCGACTAACACGGGAAATATATGTGCGACATTCAAGCGTGGAGCTCTGGCGTTTTTGGGGGACTCTCATTTCTTTCTTGCTTTTGACGGAAACTCTCCTACCCTTCTGAAACCTTTTTTTTTTCCCTTTCATTCAGGGTCATACTCTGAGATTTCTGACTATTTTGACACATGCATATTATCTCACCATGTATACAACGAGAAACGTCACGGATCAAAACCTTGTGTATATTAGGAAAGGGCGGCCAGTCGGATACTCTTGCTAAATTCGGTTGCACCTCTGTACAATATCGATGCAATTCACATTTATTACTTCTTTCACTTGCTTCTATTTCCCGTAGTTGCATGTCTTCCAAGACGACCACATTGGCTTTCTTTGAAAGCCATGTTCGGTTTACACTTCCCTCACTGATACTTCATCTTGACTTCGACCGACCATCTTTCACGGAAGATTGTCTCTCACCCTTAGAAGATCCCCTGGCAACCCAGTACCTTGAGATATTCTGCCAGACGCCATCGAGGCTCGCCAGCAAGGACTACAATCAATTGATTGCAGGGAGACGACGGCCAATAATCAGAGACGAACGGTCAGGAAATTCACGTGACCACTACCTGACCCAGAACCTGGTATCCTTTCCGTGAGAAACTCCTTGAACAGCTGGATGACAGTTGGTGTGACCCCTGCGGACTGAACACGAGCCCATGAACTTTTTCTCAGGAACTAACATGAAACGATTTATTCCAGCTGGCTCATAAGCTGTTGTACTATCTCGGTTCCTGTCTCTTCAGACTGTCCGCATCCAAACACCCTAGGAATCCCTACATAGATTAGACCCGACACCGGAAGATGGAACGGCAACTACCGACGCGTGGGGTACGCGTTTATGATTCTCAGATAGCACCAGAACACCGTGGAGTGAAGCGTGAATATGAAGATCCGGTCACGCCTTTTGCGGACGGTACACAAGTAAGCGAGGGTTTCAAATTCCTACCTGTGCCTACCGAGACGGATGATCTTCAAACGACTTGCACGAAGCTTGAAGAGCTAGCTAAAATAGTCGAGCAAGGAAACAGTCTCGCACTATTCACGGGGCTAAAACTAGCAACATACCCATCGAAAAGCGACCCGGAGAGCGTGGCCATGAGCCAGCTGACACCGGAAGAGCTGTGGATGTATGAGACTTGGAAGGAGATGAAGACGAGACAAGACACCGAGTCTAAGAACGGTGACCGTTCCTGCAACGAAGGGGATAGCAATGGTATGAAGCTCCCGTACTTCGACTGGGAGCAGAACGTGGCGCCGGTGCCCCAGGGAGCTCATAGTCTCAAGAGATTTACGCAGCGGGCGGCGGCCATGGACGTGGTCTTTGGCCATCGAGGCGCTACACCTGAAAATGCTTCCTGGCTTACGTCGCACATGGTATTTATGTTACCCCTTGTAAAAGCTGTCACCAAGGTCACCAACATCACGAAGAACCTTAAGAACAGTCATCAGTCGCGCCAGACGCGTGGGCTGACAGACATGGAGGTGGCCGAGGTTGAAACGGCACGCAAATTGGTTTCTATTGCGAACAAGAATCGGGCTCGAGAAATGGAGAAGATTCGCCGGTCGATTAAATCGATCGAGAGAAATGCGTCAATACTCAGAGAGCGCGCTGAAGCACTGGAGAGACTGAGGCACACCTCGACTATGCAGCGTCGATGAAGGTATACAGTGGGATCTATTTCTATAGATCAGGCAGAAGAAACCCAGACAAAGGGAGAATAGGTCAAGGGGTTGTGAGAGACATCTCCAAGGCACGCGACCTCGTATAGAGGGCCTCTTGCCGATGGAACCCGTAAACTTGCGCTTGTTACCGTTCGTATGTGCTTATCAGGATACGAAGGGATAGCAACGATCATAGGAAGTTATAGTACCATAGTAGTATTTAGCACCAGCTAACTAGTTACGACTCCACAGCAAATATGAAATTGGGGCATGAGCTCCCCATCTCGTCTTCTTTGACTCCTTAGATGTCACACTGTCTCATCGATATATTCATAACCACTCAATTGACGTTGGAAGACAATCCGACAAAGGCAAAGCTCGAATCCACTGGCAACTCCAACCGAAGTAACGTGTATGGTCCAAGTGGTTTTTGGAAAAATACTCCAACTTGGCAGCATTAGGCAGCTGCTGAACTTAGTACCTATCTAGATGCTAAGCCCCGATTACGATATCACGATAAGAGGAGAGGAACTTAGAGGGGGAAGGTATTCCGGAATGAGTCCCTAGCCACCTACCCACCCACGCACATCCGAGAATCCCGAGGCTGAGTGAGTTCGTTCTTCGAACGAACCGGAAGCGAAAGGAAAGTGAGTGTGAAGAACAGGAGGAGTTTTCTAGTTCTTTCCCCTTTAGTATCCTAGGCAGCCAAGATCGGATGGATCTAACTGATGACCTAGGTATGTCCATGAATGGACTGGAAACGAACTGTTTCATGATAATAAAATGGAATAAATTAAATTTAGTTACTTAGTGATAGTATGGGTAGGGGGGTTCGCGATTGACTAGGCAGCAAGCAAGCAAGCAAGCAAGCATACCCGAGAGAGATCCCACTTGGTTTGGTTGGCCAAGCGAGCGAGTCAGTCAGATAGGCAGGCAGGCAGGCAGATGGATAGTTACTTAGTTGGAGAATGTGTATTATTTAGTACGTATCAGTAGTTACGTAGTAGACTAAGTAGTCATTTAGGGCATTCCGGATGGATGATGACCTCATAGGCATATTTAGTACTATTTAGTACTACATACATGGATGGCATTTCATTTAATTGATCCTGATCCTGGGAGACGGGATGAGATGAGATGGGATTATGAGGAGAGGGGTAAGGTAGGTGGTAAGTGAGTAAGTAGGTAGGACTCAGCTCGCAATGTGCATGCATGTAATGAATGCATGAATGGACCCTTCAATTCAATGATACTACTTACTACATTAACAAATAGATTGTCGGCTGACTGAAGTAAGTAGATTGTTGAGTACTGGCTATCTATCAGGTGGTTGGTTGCACATGGTATGGTAGTAAACCAACAGAGAGTGTGTGTGACTCCTACTGTGTAAGTATGTAGTACTCCGTACGTAGTAGTAGAAAGGATGCATTCAGACTATCCCTAAAAGAGAAGATCGCGGATGTTTGGAATGCGGGTTCGTGTTCGTGGGTGATCAGGGATGGACATCACTGATGTCATTGCATATTTTTTCTTCTACCCATCCCATCCCTTCGGTCCATGGGAAAAGGGAACTAACTAACTAGGGAAGGGGGAAAGAAAAGGGTTGAACAAATTCCCCAACCCCACCTCCTTCTATGGAAAGACATCATAGTTAGTTTACTTGAGAGAGGAAATTGGTACCCAGCAAATACGAAACAATAGTTCAAATTCTACGAAGTGACGGAGTAGTGCTGCTATCTACTTGGTATTTACTGGCCGCTTGGGCCCCTCGGGTTGGTGCCGGGTTGGTTGGTTAGTTAGTGGTAGACACTAAAGTAGTGAGTACTACCAAGTAGTGATGGTGGCTCTAAAAACCAGGGATCAATTTCAGTCCAAGATAGTGTTAGTCCAACCACTATCTAGTGGAAAAGGGAAAAAGGAAGTGTCACTGGTGACTGATTTGGCTTGGGGTTGATTCCACATGGGAAGTGTTCAAAAAAGCCGCCACCGAGGGTAACCCTTTTCTTTTTTCTTCCCAATTAGGGTAGGCTGAGACCCATCACAAGCTGCTTTGGGGAGGACGGAATGCTTGGAATAAGTTATTTCCCTGTTCTATTTCTCTCTGCCTGTTGTTCACTTGCAGTGAGATAAGCAGTGTCTGACCACTTCATACTGAAGTAGTAAGAAGTAGACATATCACACGCCTCTTCTTGACTGTACTGTACCGGGCGTGTGAGTGTGTGTACCAAGTATTGAATGAAGAATGAAAGAAGGTGAAAGTGGTATGCAATCGATCGCTACCCTACATACATGCATGCATACAAACAGAGACTTTTTCCGCAAGCGAAAGCGAACCCAAAAACCAAATCCTACCCACCTACCCACTGGTGGCAACAGCGGCAATAACCGACCCAACAACAACACATGATGAGCTATGAAGAGCAGAGTGAGGAGCCCGAGAGAGAAAGAGAGGTGGGGGTGTTGAGCGAAAAAGCAACAAACCCAAATGAATTAATTTCGGGGGTTCCATTCAAGGAACAGTGCTCATTGCTCGGAAATCTTCATAGCGGCCACTAGTGGCACTTGTTCCTTAGCTATGAAGGTCGAAAATAACCCCAAAAGTGCAACCCCGAAAAATTCACTAGTAAGTACCGCTTAGCTAACTAACCATTGGATGGAATTATTTTTGTCGGTCGAACCCCATCGCAACAGGGGGAAGGAGGGAAAAGCAGGGACTTTGCTGGCTAAGACGCTAAGTTGGGCAGGCTACTTTAGTACTGTTAGTTTAGTAGATGGTTACTAGTGTGGTGTGCCTGTGAGTTGAGTCGAGGGAGTGTATCAGGGACCACTAGTATTTACTGAAGGGAAAGTGGATCTCTCCGAGGGACCGCGCTAGTCGTATCGGTCAGGCTAACTAACGGTTCTCCGACAATTAACAATCCCCCTCTTTGAGCTTTTGCAATGGAAAACGGTCTACCGTTCCAGACATCGTCTCATCTATCGGATAGAGTGGATGATTGACATTGTAGTAGCATGTGATACAAAACTGATGTCTTGACTTGCTTGGTTCTGATAGCTGGTAACAACGGCAGCTACCGCTACAGTAGCTTTGGTAGGATCACCAGCCACGCTCAACCATCCTGTAGATCAAAAGGTAAATCTATAGCTCGTTGGCATTCATGATTATGCCGAGAATTTGGGAAAGCCATGATAGGTTATAGCTAGCCTCGGGTCAGCTTGTCTTACTGGCTAGCTGTATGGACACTTAACAACCTCACTTCACTTCATCTATTCCGATAATATCACTCTGATTAATTGGCCTATGGGCCATACCCCAATACCATTGGTGCGATATCTGGGCCTCTCCCTACCAGCGGCGTGCTTCAGAGTGACTCCTCCGATAATCCTCACACTTGACCTAAAGCATAACCAAGTCAAGGGTGTTCGGACATCCGACATTTATCCGTGTTGAGTCCGTGTCTCGTTACGACAAGACCCTGCGGGCATGGCCTGAGCTTTGGGCTGTATCGCTGAACTCACTAGATTCTAGCCATGCTTGTTCGAGTAGGTGTTTATCACCACGCGCTATGCAGCAAGAAACCTCCGAGACTGGGCGCATTGATTGGCAAAAGCAATACTATACTAGTAGTAGACGAGGGAAAGGCCAATATGCCGATACGCTAGCCACGTGCGGTTGGCATATAACCATTGAGTGCTCAGAAATTGGCAGACTCACCGTACTTGGCCAGACTGATCTGTCCCAGAAACATAGTAATCGAGGCGTGAGTGAGTGGGTTATTGGGAAATACCAGGTATCAGACTGAGAGCATCTAGTCTTTGGTAGTTTCGGGAACCGTTGTGTACGAAATGAGTAGGCGGATCCGAGGCAGAAAGAATCGGGAGACCTGAAAACACGCTGGTAGTCATCCACAATTGCTAGTGTAGCCTATCCAACAGCTCAGCAGGGTTCTGCAGAATTTTCCTATTAACTACTATCAGATGGATGAAAAAAGCTTGTTCGACGTTTACCGCAGAACACGAGGGATTGATGAAAGTAAGACCAGAAAAGTTCACGGGCGACAGGACCAAATTGGGTTAGTGGACAATTCGGCCGAAGTGTCAATAATAATTCACAAGCTGTCCACTGTAAAGTGTAGATTAAAGGTGCCGGTCCTTCAATATCCCCCTGCGAGCAGACTTTATCCGCTTCTACTGTACTGTACTGTTGTGCTCTCAGGGAATTGATTATTGGGGGTTGGTGAGACCAGTGTGTTGAGCCTTGACTGCTTCCTCGAAAAGTGGGAAATGGGGATGGACAAATCATCGAGCATATGTGTTCGGAAGGAGCTCCGAATAAGTTGAAAGGCAGGTCTTGAAGCATTCTCGATGTCACCGGAGGGTCCGGATGATGGTGGAAACAAGCCAAAAGCGTTTTAGTTAGTGTCCCAAAAAAAGAAATTGTATATTATCACCAGTTGGTGATTAGGACCCGCTACCGGCCACTATAGTCAGGTAGATATTAGATAAGTAATATTATTAGTCGGATTGAGTGACCAGACCCTGAAACCGGAAGATCATAGTGTTTCCCAAATCGTAAAGAATAAGGATAATAATCATAAAAATAATCAGAAGAAATCATCTCAAACGCTGGTTCCAATACGGGGCTTGGTATGAACTACCACACAATACCTGAGATACGAGATACCGACCGTACACAGAACAGCAGTCCGAGCAGGTTCACACCGACGCTGCTCATCAGCACTACAGATTAACTACTAGTATCTTGTTGGTTAGCTACTTATATGGAGACAACTTGGACCCTGAGTCAGAAAGGAAATCTCACCAGGCGCACAGCTAAATAATTAGTTACTCAGTAAGTATTTAACTAAAGACGCGTTTTCTGACTGTCACTGGGCGTGGGAAGAAAGAAAATAAAATACCACCTAACCTCCTAGTTACGATGGTGGCTGGAACATAAGCGAGTCTATTGGCCCCTGAGGAGAGAGGAGGAGCGGCGCCAGTCCCGAAATATGTGGTGAATGGGCCCTGTGACTGGCTCCCTGCTGCGACCCTGGGCGGGATTACCCTCCGGAATTACCGCTTTCGGCACAAGGTATGCGGGGGCTGCCAGTTAGCGTCGGTGACCGGGCAGCGCCAAGAATGCCTCGAGGATTCTGGGAAGTCAGGGAGTCACCGAAAGCCAGGCACCTTGGACCAATCCCCATGCGTATCCACACGCCTTGTTTCACGGGCAAGACAGTCCAACTCGCCCTGGCAAGAAAAGAATAATCTGTCCAGGACGGAGCAGCATCATACTACTACTACTCCTTCCGACTTAACCTCCAATTCCTCACTACTGCTAACTAATTCACTCACTCTCCCTCTCTCTACTGGGAATCACACCCTGATTACCTTATGCTTACCCCCCTCTCTCACTCTCACTCTCTGGCTAAATACCTCTGCTTGATTCCTTCTCCGCAACCGACCATCGGCCCCTGTCGCTCCGTACACACCCATCATTGACCGTCGCTCATCACCTCCCACCACCACCACCCCCTCCCTATCATTTCTAACAGAGACCCTGGCGCCAGGGACAATTTGAGCAGTCTTCCAACCGCCGGAACTCCCACGACCTGGTCTATTCTTCCAGCCTTGACTTGATAACTTTCAAGTATCCTTCAATTCTGAACGAACACCTCCTTTACCTCCCTACCATATCTACCGATAAGCCGTCAGCCTGCCGCCCTGTCTGTCGCGACTCCTGCACCCGATCGTCGCGGCTGCGAACGCGAATAACCCTACACATATCTACTGTCCATAACAAGCGAATAACCAAATTGAACTCGTCTTATACACTTTTGAGAATTTTACACGTCAGCTTTGGACCTTTGCGAATCCGTCTTGTTCCGCGCCTTT